TTACACAATTTGGTGTAATCACACAATGGTGTGGCTACACCATAACAAGAAGCCACTACGTGGCAGGATTTACAGTAGTGATGCATGTTAATTAGGTTTTACTATATTAATTAGAATCACCTAAGGTTTTAGATACTGTCGGCTCTGCCGCAACTGAAACAATTTTAATTTTGAACGGAAGAGCGTCTATACCTTGGTTAAGGTTTTAGGTACTCTGGAGGTAGCGGATTGCGATCCACTAAGCCTGTATTGGTTCTTGCACAGAATATAAAGTCGATGACCTTAGCTTAGGTTTTTCTAAGCAAAGAGCTACGGTAGCCTCGCTGCACTTGGTAGCACTCGTTGTCAATCTTCGCCTGATTCGTTTCGACTGATCCTCTGTGAAGATGTAACAGTACTCCTATTTGCCCCAGGGCATGCAGAACGGGCTTAATAAGTTGATGTCCCTGCTGGGCCCTGAGGAAGGGGAACAACTTGTTTCGCAAGGGGCCGATGCAATAAACGCGCGTTTGGAGGTGTTTTCAAGCTATAGAAATGCTCTGCTAGAGCAATTTACAGCAGAAGCTATCAGCGTCGACTGAGTCGACTGCGTTCATGACGCCACCGCCGCCGACGGACCCAGACCGCTCATGGTGAGCGCTAAAACCTTCGAGGATAAGAATGGGGGGAAACTGTTGCTCTCGGTAAGGGAGGCCAAGATGGCTATGGCATCCGTCATGCTCCAGAACGAGCAACAGCAGTGGTGCTAGCTATCTCCAAATTCGGATACCGAGCGCAAGAATGGGCACTATTTGTGGTGCTTCAATTGAAGCGACATTCAAGGACCCGAAGCAGCAGCTTTTGCGAATTTTCTCGCCGCCTAACCAGGCATTTCGCGTGCGATCGCGTTTCCTTGCAACCCGACAGGGCAAGATGGAATTGGTGGACATTGTCTATGTGTCGATTGCCAGGATGGCAGATGATCCTCTACCCGAGGCGGTCGCAGTGACGGTCTTTACGTAGGGCCTCCGCGCTGGCGTGGCCAGAATGGAAGCTATTTCCGCGGTGAATGCTCCTCATTAGCTGGGCGACGAAGAGTTTGGCTGTGTCTTGAAGGCAGGATATTAAGCCGAGGTGGTCATTATACGACCGAACGAGAAAATTCGTTTGTCGCCGCTTCTGGATGAAGCTGTCTTGCCGAACACTAAGAGTGTGCTAAACGCACGAAGAATCGTCATTTCTCAATTGCCCTCCGATCCGTACTATCTTTTGGCAAATTTGAGACGCCGTCTCCAAAGGCCCGCCGTCGGTCCTACCTCTGGACCGAGATGTGCGTCATGAGATCGACCTGGCTCCGGGGACTAAATCCTGCGTAACACGCCAATGCCCCTGTTCAAGTAGCAGCGACACCTTTTTCCGTGCGAAGCCTGATGCAGGAATGGTGCGTGCGAGCAAGTCTCCCCAATCGACACCCATGGTTGTGTTCGGAAGCCGAACAGCAAGTGGCGTATCGTTCACGCTTACAATAAGCTCAACGCCGCCACCATTCCGGCACAGACGCCAATTCCTAGGAAGGATATTCTACAGACTAATATGGTTGACAGCGCACTCGATTTGGTCGATGGTTATTACCAAATTCTCATGAGGGTGAATAATATTCCATTGACAGCGGTGAAAACTCCGAGCGAAATGCTGTTGGTTATGCCCCAAGGGCTGTCAAAATGCACCAGTAACATTAATAGTCTTGTGACGCAGTTTTTCAGGCCCCATTGGGGGTATGTACAAGCAGACTTCGACGACATTTTAGTCCACAGTCGTGCGGGGCACGGGAGGACAGATGATGAAACCATTTTCTCCAATTATGAGCGGTGCTCGTGTGCGTGCGCACTAATGAGCTGTATGCTTATCCCGATAAAAGCATCTTTGGCGCAAACGAAATCTTTTTTCTAGGGTGCTTCATTGGGAAGCATGGCCTTCCAGCGGATCCCGCTTAGGTCAAGGCCAGTGTGGACTGGCCGGTTCCAAAGAGCCAAAAGGTCTTGCGCAGTAGCTTGGCCTCGCCAACTACTTGTAGAAATATGGCGCAAATTATGCGGAAATGACACGGCCATTGTCGAATCTCGTTAAAAAGGATACGGAATGACCGAGCTTCGGGAGGCTTTTGTCAAAGACAGCCTCCTTCATGCACCATTACTGGCGTTGCCAAACTCCGATCGTCCTTTACGTGTCGTCTGTGACACTTCGGACTTGCCATCGGCTGTGTACTGCCACGAGAAGACGCCGAGGGGCGAGATCGGGTGATTTCGTTCAAAAGACACCAGCTTAAGGCTGCAACAAACCCAGTCCACAACAAGAAATTACGATAACGTTTGCACTTGTCAAGTTCAGGGTGCCCTGCTTGGCTTAAAGCCGTTTGTGATCTACACAGATCATGCGTCATTACGCACAGCGACTCAGTAGCCTCACCTCTCGCAAAGGATGACCAGGTTGCTCTCCTTCTTTGCAGAATATAATTTCGAGGTGAAGTATAAGCCAGGAAAGCAAATTGCTTTGGCTGATACGTTATCACGCAGACCGGATTATAAGCTAGCTCATGTTGAGACGGTGACGTCGTCAATGCCGTATTTTATCCGCGCCGTACGCGGGTGATGGTATGTGTGAACGCTGCTATAGGCTTTTGGGGGCAAGGAGTTTGGAAATTCGGACAAGAAATTGTCGGCGCGTTTGCGCGCATGGTCACACCGATATTTGTTGGATAACGGGTTGCTGGATTATAGCACCGATTTACCGGATACGCCACGAATTGTGATTCCTCTCGATGAGGGTTTGGAATACCGTATCCTCTATGAGGCCCGCAACACCCCACTCAGTGGTCAACTCGGTCGTGAGAAGACGTACAGCTCGGTGAGTTGCCACTGCTGGTGGCCCAAGCTGTACAAATGGACGAGCATATACGTGCGCACGTGTGAGACATGTAAGAGGGTGAAACCCTCGCCGAATGCGCAGCGCCGCTGGCCAGCTTTCCGGTACCCAGCGGGTATTGGCAGTCCATGAATATGGACTCTATATTTTGGCCTGCCGAAAGTCTCGGCGGCAATACGGGCGTGGTTTTTTTTTGTGGACTGCAGAGCTGTTGAATGCTTTCACCACACAACGTCGTACTTATCGTCATCTTACTCTTTGATAAAATGCCGAAACTCGTTACCATTCGGTACGCTAATTTGTACCATGTTCTCAAGCAACTGTGCGAGCTGTTGCCTGTTTTGATGACGAAAAGAAAGCGGCATATCTGGCCAGCGATGTCAGTACTACGCAAGCAAATGATGAGCATGAAGCGAATATTCTCACCGCTGATTTCATAGTGGAATTTAACCACAACTATATAAAATATTGTCAGGATCTCACCTTCAACGACAAATTTCTAAATTCCCTACCAGCACTGCGACTATTCAAAAATTGATTTCATAAATTATATTGGAGCACTTTGATTACGTCCTCAAATGAGACAAAATATCGGAAACTCCGTTTTCAAAAATCATGACGTTCCAAGTCTCTTTGCTCATACACGACACTAATTTTGAATACACACAACACATGATGATCAAGAGTGTAGTAGTAAAATGCATCTATCGCTCACGTCTACAACACAAAGTTACCGACAGCTCACGAGCGAAGTATTTGGTGAAAAAAGCGGATTGAAAACACTGATATATCGCACTCAAATACTTGTATCCACCTTGGATTTTTTTCTGTACCTATCTCCTACACCTAAAAACATCAAATGTCTATACCAGCGAGCGTATCTTCCAACAACTCTTTATTCAGCGAATTTAGTATCTCTGTCATGTCTTCATGGACAGAGCTTTGCAAGAGATCATGAAAATCTTTGACTTGAAATGTCGAGATTCCAAACTGTAATGGTACTTGACGAACACAACTTAAGACATCCGTCACATTTTCATCCACTCCAGGCTGAATTCGAATCCATCCAGTCTCATCCGAGTGCATACCACAAAAGACTCCTTCTCCTTCTGAATGTGTTTTCCAGACATATACAGTACGTTTGTTTTCCACAAACCGGCGCGCAACATACCGTTTAATAATTGAGACGGTCAATCCTGTTGGTAATGTCCGGAGAACACGATATCGAATGACACTAATATCATCAGATCCTGCTACTTCTCCAAAATCCTCTCGATTTTGTTGTCGATGATAGAGTTTTCCCAATTTCCACATCGTTTGCTGTGTGCGAGCATAACTAAAAGGCTCGGAAAACTTTTGTCTACGTTCAAAATATTCAATTTCATTGTCACTATCACGTCGTTTGCAAATTGTAACAACGCCATCAGCCATGTCTTCAAAGTTCAGGACAGAATCTGTCTGGGTATATTCTTCATGTACCCGTCGTAAATGACCCCGAAACATTGTATAATCAAACGGTGGAATGGCTGGAAGATTCACAACGTTTGTACTCTTACTAGCAATCGACCCATGGAGTGAAATTTCCGTTCTTACTGGACCTGCCACGTGTTTACAGAGCTCCATAATACATGAAGCTTTGCTTTTTGCCACTGCTAAAAGTTGTTTCTGTTCTGCTTTTGATCGTAATAGCTTCTCTCGCTCTTCAACGGCCACTCCTTGCCATATTGTATGTTTCAATCCAAAGTTATTTGTCACTTTACGTTGCTTGAGCTCTTCTAACTTCAGTGTCAAGTCATGGACTGTCTTGCGAAGTGTATTACGCTCATCCTTAATCTTTTGATGGTATATTCGCTTTCTTAACGCTTCTTTTTCACTTCGACTTTTGCCACACGTGGTTCTTTGCTCTCGTCGATGCAACTTAAATGATGAGTTATCTTCTTTACAAGAGTCACAAGGGATACAAGAGGTTACGACTGACGCTGTAGATGTAACACGATGTCTTTGTTCTTTATCTACTGGTACATCTGTCTCCATATGTGCCAGTACTTTGTTCACATCGTCCGCGCATGCAGCTTTAGCGGCCATCGTGTCCACTTTAAGGCTGTTTACGAAATTGACAATTAAAAGAGTGTCAGCCCTGCCAATCGCATTTTCATGTTCTTATATGCAGTTCTTTGTTTATTCTTTTACCGTACGAGTACTGTACACGTCATAACTCAAAGATATGCTTCTAACTAAGACTTTCTTATTGCATTGTTGAGGAGTTATGGTATTCACACCAAATCCAGAAAAATGTAATCTATTAAATAGCCTTTCCCTATCTATTGGCATGCAAGAAATAATACAGTTCTACTCATTGTGATACTTTAGTGTTCGTGCAACTTTTATCTTAGATGGTATCGAAATAGACTTAGATATGACAGCAACAGATGTATTTCTCTCCACGACCCGAATCAGATTTGATAAGCAATCGCGTTGTAATCAACCCCTAAACTGCTGCTGACGTCGTTGATTAGTGATCTATGGCTGTGTTTTGTGGCGTAAAGGCTCCAAAGAAGCCTAAACAACTTTAATGGAATATATGCTCTACGTTTTAAAGAGAGCTGAGTGACTTGTAGATGCTTATATCTTGCTTGAACTCCTTTCTTGAAAGGATGGACCCCGCTCAATTAACTTAACAGTAACTTCCTTCTGTTTGTTTTTGAATGTCTGTTCTGTGCATTGTAGTCATCATGTATTTGTATACAAGAGTGTGAGGCTAATCATTTGTCTGCATCGCAGATCATCCAAGAGCTAACGGTAGAAAGAAGCTGCGCAGATCCCAATTTGACCAAATTTAGAAACACGACAGCTCGAATTGCTCCACACTGTTGTCTTTGTATTATGTACAACATCGAACTATCTAATACCCAAATACAGTCAGTTGTCAACAATTTAAAAAGCTTTTTATCCAGATGATATGCTACTTTAAGAAGCGTCATCCGCATAATTAAGATTTTGCGGGCTGAACGCAATTGGTGATTTCTGCCATAAAATTGAATGTCTAGTCCAAATTGCACATTTGAGTCGAAATTATGCCCTTGTAGGTACAGCAAGGTCAGACTTAAAAGTTCACGACATTTAATTATCAATAATACCAAGAAAATCTCGAGATTAAAGACACGGACTTGTATTTAAAATTATGAGCTGAAAGTTGAAGTAGCTCAATGATGAGTGACTGGCTTACGCCATTGTTGTGGTAGAGACTATTTGGTTGGAGCCATCATTCTGAGCTTATTAGTTACCACATTCGTGACGTATGCTGTGTTGTACCTTCTTTGTTAGTTGTTTCCACAATGCACGTTGGGACTGTAATTATGTGCCAGAGTTCTAGACAGTAGCAAATTTTGTATCTTTATTACCATCACTTTGACTCTAACATATCCTATATAATTTCCAATTCAGCGGTAAAAATTAAGTTAAACAAAACCTTAAAATCAGAATATTCTTACAAAATTATTCTACTCTCCCGTTGTTTATATTAAATAGGCTCTAAATTATCGACAAACGGTAATACATGATATGGCATCTTGCCGTCATTATCCTTTCAGTACCCAAATTTCAAACATGCACTTCAGTATGTTGATCGCGTGGAAACAACATCTTATTGACGCGGATCGGCAATGAAATCTTGTCATACAGACGGCCAGCTTTTATGTTTTCTTATACGTACACACAATTATCGCAACATTTGGGTGCTAACATTCTACACACGGCTAGTAACTCCATTGCTAGGTAGACGAGCAGAATGCGGTGCTACTTGTATGCAGCGTTAAAGAGTAATTTCATGTACTCGAGATATTATAAGCTTGTCTGAGTTGCACTTCACCATGTTTAATACTAGCAATCGAGAATATCTAGATTGTCTCAATTAGCCCCTGCCATCTGGACACTCTGTGGCCATCCAGCAATACATTTAGGTAGGCCGGTCATGTAGCCGTTGACGTGTGTGGGAAGGCGTCGGTGAGACGACTGTGATTTAGTTGGTCTGATCAACATTTGAGAAACGCTATTGACATCATAGATTTACGGAATCTTGGCAGCAGGTCTCATTCCTTTTTTTATCATTTCTGACGGCACCTCTGAAGTTGTATGCGCATACGTAGCAACGGCCGTGGGATAATTCAGTCATCTAGTGCAGCAAGTGTTATTTATGATGTCTGACCTATCGGGTATGGTCATACGGCTAGGTTCTATTCAACTGATTTAGCAGCTACAACATCGTTAGATAGTGAAGCAAGTAACCACAAAATACAAGCGCAAAATATCATTCCAAAGTGCCAAACGTGAATTTTATTTACTCAAACACCTTTTTGGCGTGCTAAACAAGAACTAATCGTAATACTAGACATGATGAAGGATGGTTGTAATTTAGCCCTCTATAGCTCTTGTTTACGCTGTTGCGTCGTATAAACACACGATGTGAGAAGGTTTAGCATTGCGGTAGTCGTTTGTCTGGCGATTGAGTCGAAATTTGCGTATGGCAGTCAATTAGATTTTTAATCATGCGAAGGCAAGATTACTCCATTCGACCTTCATGCCAAATTTGTTAAAAGTTCCGTAATTTAAACGATAGCAACTGGGAGGTGCCGCCGACAAGCAAGCTGACGCCTCGGCCGCCGAATAAGAGTCAGAAATATAATAAATCCTTACACAAATAACTAGCTTGTGAATATAAGATGTATATAAGTAGAAATTTTCTATAACGCATTCGAAAGCTGCAAAGTTCTCGTTTCTGGAGGACCATCCATCTAGCGCACTTTATCACGACACTTTCAGGCTTTGGTTTGAGACTAGAGAACAACAGTTATATGGAAGTATATTTCTATACCCTCCTCACCTATTTCAGATAACTTTTAGTTTCATATACCTCAACATTGATACTTATGATTTTTGATATGTGCACCCCATAGTATAGATTGATACTTGTTTAATTTTCAAATTGAAGGTACTATGAACACGTGCAAGTACTAATCAACCAAGAGGCACTCGGTCCGGCGCTCTGGCGACGATCGGTGAACACATTCTCAGCGCTTTGTTGACGCGGATATGAGGCAAAAGTTGCAAAGTGTGCTACCTCCCCGTCGGCTGCTAGCATTACGCTATTATTTCAAATAGTAATATATGAAAATATCTGTTCCATTATTATACTTCCTCTTACTTCAAGTAATAAGACTCTAGGTTCGAAACTTCACTCCGTGATAAAATTAAAGTAGCAAAATGATATATATGTATTAATATTACAGAAGTGTATTCCTCCAGCTTTCGTAAATTAGAGCCAAATACATTCAAATATACACCTCCAAGCTATATCTATTGTAAGTAACATTATTCTAATAATAAAATGACTTATATAAACCGATTCATTTGAAACACGAAATATGACTTTAAAATGTTCGTAACTGGGCTAAACGTTTACCATATGCCCAACGCTTCACACGACCCGCAATGTCAGACATAGCGAACAATACTTTCTGCAAGGGGTCTTGTAGTCGTCGAGCAGTGTTGCTGCATCCAAATCGACAAACCATCGTGAGAGAGACTCGTTCTCCCCACCACAGTACAAAGACACGTTCAATTTCAAAAGCATCGTTCTGTACGAAGAAGCAGGGGTTGTGACCTGCTTCCGAGACTCCATAATTATATTGTGCTTGAAGCTGACAGCTGCGTTCTTCTGATCATCCGGAGGAAACGACTGCAGTTATTTGGCTACTGCAACTTATCTGATGATATATCGCATCAGCTTGAGTGCCATCCACACATGTGAAGACAAACGAGGACATATCTCATTCGTCAACATCTCAGTTTGCGGTACTGACAGACCGAGTGGTACCCCAACTCGCTCGCACAGGGACAAGAGTATGACTCGGACTGGAATGCGCGACATGCTCAACAGCCGCGTCGTCAAACCAGAATGAGTGTTGTTGAAATGACCGTTTGAAGTGCTACCAGGTATAACAGGGCACCGTTCGCAAACAAACTATCAAACACAACAAACACACTTGTGCGATGAGAGAAGGGATCCCTACATAGAGGGAGAAGGACAGTCCCGACTTAGAGGGAAGAAGAGCGAGTTAAGTCCTATTAAGCGAATTTGCAACTGAACCAAGAATGAGGTATGGTTTTTAGCTAGATGCGAATCACGCCTAGAGCATTTACTGGTAAAACCTTGGATTCATGATTTATAAATCAAGGATCTACTGAAGTAGACCTTAGAGCAAGATCTTGGGTGCACGGAGCTTGAACTTCGAAAGCTTGGAAGTCAATTTCCGTGAAAAGTATCCAGTAGAAGAGACTGGCTTATGCCGCCCACTTTGAAAGACAGAGACACGCCGGACTCGTACCAGTACATATTCTCAAGTAGTAACCAGCATTCTGTATCACACCGAATGTTTGACTTCATAAAAGAAACTACATACGCTTTTGAGAACACCGTATCTTCTTTTATTTATTCCCACAATGCATATAGAAGGAACATAATGTCACTTCATGTAATGGCTAAGTGTAGCCCATACACCATCTTCACCACTGTTATCTACTACAATAATGTAGGTCAAAATATGGAGTCGAGGAGTCAGGGTTTGCTCAGGATTCTTCATCGATCAGTGTTTCTATAACTTATCAGACTCGGATGAGTCGGTCTGAGTTGATCCGACTGATTTCTTAGGGACTGTAGTAATCCCATTACCTGCCGCTTAGTATTGGATTGTCGAACGCGGCGCTGAACTCTTTCAAGAAGATCCTGATGTTTCTACACTCTGGATGTGAACGAAGGAAACATGCTGGATCTATATCAAATGTATCATAAAGATGAAATGAGTAGCTTTAAATACTCTTTTCAGTAGCTCGGCATAACTGAGTCATGAAGAAAGTGTAGATACGAATGACAGATATGACTTCGCTCATTTAGAAGATTTAGATAACGATCTTAATGCACTGGAACGGAACTCCAAAAATTGCTTCCAACCGATGTCGATATATTCGATTGACTACTATTTTGCGAAAGTTTGCGCATCAAACTCATTCTAGATTCGACTCACCTCTTGGATAACCCAAAGCTTACGTCGAATTTAAACAAGCTCGCATTCTTTCCCTACACAACTTGGACACATTTCTATCCTATTGTAGTGATTCAGCCAGATATTTTGCAAAAAATCTAAAAAAACATTTGTGATTTGACACTTGAGTCAATATATTACAGAGGATTCCTCTATCAAATAAATTAACAAGCTCATTCTGATTTTGTGGGCAAAACTACGAACCCCAATTCTCATTTTAAACCGCTGATCTCCTATTTTTGTTAATCAGTCGCAGAGTATCTTATGGCTCCCAGGATTCAGGTTCATCGCCGACCCGTTTCACCAGATAGATGTACTTTCCAAAGCGTATCATTCTGTGATTTGAGATCTCGTCCGCCTCAAGAATATTGCCCTGATTGATAGAAGCATCTGCAGACTCTGTCGCAACCATTTAAGATCGCTTGACGCCTCGTAGAGTGTATTTCCCGTATTTAGATAAATTTGGACTCGGTAGCCATCAATTTCAGCAATTTTATAGACTGCGTTGCTCCATCGAGTAGCTTTTTTATAAAATAAATACTTTCTGAGACGATAGAATACGCTTGATCCGACGTCGAACTCCTTCTCAATTCTTACGATTTTACCCATGGTTCCGTGATCACCGGATTCGTTGTTGCAGTGCTCAATTTTTTTTAATTTTTGAAAAATTATTGGGCCTGTGAGTTCATGAACTTGCTTTTCGTTATCACTTGTCAAGATGTTTACATTGTGGAGACGAACAAATCTTTTTAGCGCTGCTAATACAGTTGCTGCCTTGTCGTTCGTAAGATGTTTGCGTACCCAGCCTTGAGTTGAGGCTGATAGCAGTCAAAATTGGCCGTGACTCCCAAAACACAAGATCAATTCACCACAACTTGGAATTATGCAAAGCTATTTTGAAACCATTGAAACTCTTCTTTTCTTCCTGAAATAGTTAAACATCGGTCTGACTACCATACCAATCCTCAATTAGTGTAAAACTTATATTAGATTTAATTCCTTTGCCTTCTGACACAGAGCTTGAGCCCCGATAAAACTGTTTTTGGGGTCATTATAAAGTTTCTCAGTATCGCGTCCATGATCTGTATTTATAGTGAAAAAATCCCCAGAGGAAACCTGCGTAAATATTAAGTAGTTCAGTCGTGATACCATCTTCAGGTACTCGACGTTTTTCATAGTAATAGTCGAGCCCCGGTCTGGGATGAGTATCAGTAATGATAGGCTTGCTTTTTTTGATAGTCTGAACCCCTTCTTTGTACCTTGTAGCGTGATGCAATCCCGTGCAACAGTCTCAAACTTATCAGGATTAATAACACCATGGTTTCGACCACCTCCCTGCTGAATACCCATCGCTGAAACTTTTACCTTGTAAGATTCGTCGGGTGGGTAGCAAATATAGTTATCACTCGATAATGACATCATAGACATCACCTGACCATTCGTCGTTAAATAATCAAGGAGCACGGCGATCAAACTTAGCTACCTCAGTGTTGTAGTGTTGTAGTCGCGTGAGAACCAATCGTATTTATGCCTCAGATAGTGGTTTCGTAGCTCAGGCTTGATATAGTCTTGTAACGGAGTGTCACAGTTGAAAGCGATATAAGCGGAATCAGTGTCCATCTTCTGATACTGAAAGTCGAAGCGATCGAATTAGAAATTTATGCAGCCATAGTAAAACTGAAGCATGCGTAGCTAAGCAAGCTAATAGATAGCAATCGACAAATGGATTGGGTTCGTATTATTGAGTCGACGCTTCTTTTTACACCCATCATTGAGCTCCTCAAGACCATGATACGTAACGCGCTTGTTCTTGATAGCTTTGTAGATCGACTCATACTTAACCTCTTTGTGCTTACTGATGTCCATTCCAGCTTGATTAAAAGCGCTGGTGCCTACCACTTTTATCATATCAGCAATCATCGCCTTTGACTTATCAACATCGCCCTCTTGTCGAGCGTTTGATACAGACTCAATTAAGGTGGCGAGAGCTTTGTGAGAGATGGCCTCGACAAAGCAGTAAGCCTTGGTTATCTCCATACCGTGAGAAAGATAACACTTGAGCATAGGAGCGTAGATGAGAATCCTTTCACTAAGGTAGCTGCCAATCAACTTGCGAGCTGATTTTGCTCGACTTTGCTTGCGCGCCTGATTGTGATTAAACATGTGCTTACCAATGACGCTCTCGTTCAGACTGTCGATCAGTTCATTCTTGAAAACTGAAGTCATCTCACCTAAGCACTGTATGAGGTGCCCTGGTGTTCGAACATCACACTAGGCTTAGGTGAAGAGTGCATTCAAGCGCTACTGCATTCCTAAGGGGATTAAGTATACGTTGAGTCTATTTAAATTCTTTAAGATTATTGACCTATCACAGCTCGATGAGGTTGAGGACTGCTTCCAACTCGGTGTTAACGTGGATGTATGTCAGCTTTTGATAGAAAGGACCAGTATCACCAGTGATGCTATAAACGAGCAAAATTCATGTAAGGTTACTACGAGATCAAATCGGTGAAAGACCTACTGATCTGGTACAATAGTCTCGACAAATTCTCTTTCACCAAAGCTATCAAAGCTCAGCGAGAGCTAATTGAGCGTAACGATCGGGATATGCTTGCGGATGGAGTGTCCCTACCTGGTCTTTCAGAGAAGGTTATGTATCAGACCTGCTTCAATAATTTCCAAGATCCGGATAAAGACCTGCTAACACATTCTAATATTCAACTAAGTGCACGGCTGGCTACAAGAGTCAGGATGCTAAGGCAAAATAAAAAACAATCGAGCACGTCAATACATTACTGCAAAAGCAAGTCGTATCGGGGTGGTGTATACTACTGTCAGCTGACTGTTGATACCGCTTCAGCGTATCTACAATAATCTTGGCCACATCGACGGTAATATCTTAGTCAGCTGCGTTGGTTCAACGCCCCTCGAAAAGACATGTCGCTTAAGTTGTTTCGGAATAAGAAGTAGCTTGAGTTCAACTCGGATAGACTGGTCCACTCGATCGACGAGGTCTACTCTAAGATGAAGACCAACATTGCTAGAGATCTATAAATCATCTTAAAAAAATCGCCCCGCTAAATGTAATCAAATAAGGATTTACAAAGATAAGGTCCGTAGTAAACTATCGGATACGACCCTAACGTTCTATACCTATGGGTCATTGGTAATGCGATGCCATGCGTTCGATTGACTCAAGCCTGGGTCACGAACCCACTTTCTGGGGCATATATACGATTGGTTCCCACGCGACTATAACATTGAGGTAGCTAAGTTTGATCGCCGTGCTCCTTGTTTGCTTAACGATGGATGGCCAGATGATACGATGATGTCATTATCGAGTGATAACTATATTTGCTACCCACTCGATGAATCTTACAAGGTAAAAGTTTCAGCGAATGGTATTCAGCAGGGAGGTGGTCAAAACAATGATGTTTCTAATTTTTTATAAGTTTGAGACTGTTGCACGGAGATTGCATCACGCTACAAGGTACAAAGAAGGGATTCAGATTATCGAAAAAACCTATCATCACTGATACTTAAGCAAAACAGCGCTCAACCATTATTATGAAAAAAGGCGAGTACTTGATGATGGTATCACGACTGTTCTACCTAATATCTATGCAGTTAATCGCGGTTTTTTCAACCTAAATAAAGATCATAAATGCGCTACTAATGAAACTGTACAATGACCTCAAAACCAGTTTTATCGAAGCTCCAGCTCTGTGTCAGAAGGCAAAGGAGTTTAATCCTTATATAAGTTTTGATAATAATAGAGGATTGGTATGATAGTCAGACCGAAATTAAATGATTTCAGGAACAAAAGAGAAATTCAATGGTTTCAAAAAAGCTTAGCATAATCCCAAATTATGGCGAATTAATCTTGCGTTTTGGGAGTAACGGCCAATTTTGACTGCTATCAGCATCAACTCAAGACAGGGTACACAAAGCTCTTACTAACAAGACGACAGCAACTGTATAAGCAGCGCTTAAAACATTTGTTCGTCCCCACAAAGTAAATATTCGGACAAGTGATAATGAGAAGCAAGCTCATGAACTCACAAGCCCAATAATTTTTCAAAAATAAAAAAAATTGAGGACAACAATAACGAGCCCGGTGATCACGGAACCATGGGTAAAATCGTAAGGATTGCGAAGGAGTTTGACATCGGTTCAAGCGTATTCTATCGTCTCAGAAAGCATACATTTAATGAAAAAGCTGCTCGATGGAGCAACACAATCTATAAAATCGTTGAAATTGATGGCTACCGAATCCGAACTCGTTTAAAAAATGAAAATACACTCTACGAGGCGCCAAACGATCTTATATGGTTGAAGTAGAGAATGCAGATGCTTCTATCAATCGGGACAATATTCTTGAGGCGGACGAGATCTCAAATCACAAAACGATACGCTTTGGAAAGTACATTTATCTGGTGAACTGGGTCGGCGATGAACCTGAACCGTGGGAGCCACAAAACACTTTGCGACTGATTAACAAAAATAGGAGATCATCGGTTTAAAATGAGAATTGGGGCTCGTAGTTTTGCCCACAACATCAGAATGAGCTTGTTAATATATTTGATAGAGGAATCCTTTGTAAGTTGTTGACTCTAGTGTAAAATCTCAAATTTTTTCTGAGAACTTTTGGGAAATATCTGACTGAATCACTACAATAGGATAAAAATCTGTTCAAGTTGTGTAGGGAATGAACGTGAGCTGGTTTAAATTCGACGTAAGCTATGGGTTATCCAAGAGGTGAGTCGGATCAAGAATGAGTTTGATGCGCAAACTTTCGCAAAATAATATTCAATCGAATATATCGACATCGGTTAGAAGTAACTTTAGGAGTTCCATTCCAGTGCATTAAAATCGTTATCTAAATCTTCTAAATGAGCGAAGTCGTATCTGTCATTCTTATCTACCCTTTCGTCATGACTCAGTTATGCAGTATTTAAAGCTTGTCATTTCATTCTTATGATACATTTGATATAGATCCAGTATGTTTCTTTCGTTCACATCCAGAGTGTAGAAACATCAGGAGCATCTTGAAAGAGCTCAGCGCCGTGTTCGACAATCCAATGCTAAGCGGCAGGTGTTTGCAGGAACGTCATGAGCAAGAGATATCACGAATGGGATTACTACAGTCCCTAAGAAAATAGCCGGATCAACTCAGACCGACTTATCCGAATCTGCTAAGTCAAAGAAACACTGATTGATGAAGAATCCTAAGCAGACCTGGACTCCTCGACTACAAATATTCGACCTACATTAATTGATATTGGAGTAAATAGCGGTGGTGCAGATGGTGTATGGACTACACTTAGCCATTACATGAAGGGGCATATGTATGCATCGTGGGAATTGATGAAAGAAGATACGGTATTATGTTCTCAAAAGCATACGTGATCTCTTTTATGAAGTCTCAAACACTCTGTATGATTCAGAATGCTGGATCTTACTTGATATTCTGCACTGGTGACGAGACCAACGTGTCTTTCAAAGTGGGTGGTGTAAGTCAGTCCCTTCTACTGAATACTTTTCACGGAAGTTGACTTTCAAGATGCTGAACTTTTCTTGTATCGCTCGATTGATTGAATCGTCCCGGGTCTTTGGATATTCACGGAACTGCTGATTCCAGATTTGACCATCATTCAATCCTGCCATGAAAGTTACAACTTGCGTAGAAACGTCAACTAGCTCGTCGACAATGTTCGATACCAAGTAGCGAGCACGCTACATACGACTGTAGGTCGTAACGCCCTTAACGAAGCTTTCAGGACTCGGCTGGGGTATGGACTCACTCTGTGGCAGTTAAATCGCCTTCTTTAGCTTGACTTTGAAATGTTCGGAACTGGAAAATATGTTTTGATTGGCTAGACGCTTACCATACGCCCAACACTTCGCACGATCCGCAAACTTAGATATAGCGAGCAATACGTGCTGTAAGGCGTTCGTAGCTGTCAAGCAGTGGTTGTTGCATTCAAATCGACAAACCATCGTGAGAGAGGCTTGTTCTCTCCACCACAATACAAAGACACGCTTAATTTCGACCGCATCGTTCTGTACGAAAAAAACAGGGGTTGCGACCTGCTTCCGAGACTCCATAATCTCATTATGCATGAAACTGCAAGCAAGCCAATTTCAGTGGTTATGAGCCCAGGCAAGCACGCCAGCTGACCGGTACAGATGGACCAGAGCCAATGGACATCTCGTACATTTTTTCGCCTGAAAATGAGCGTCTTTGCAACGATGGAAAGTGTTTCTGTTATGAAAGCCGGGTGTTGTTGCCCAGAACTGCAGAGTGTCTTTACCGAGTCGACAACAGACAAGCGGTGCTCGTTCAAAAAATCGTGGACGCTATAAAGCTCGTCGGATTGCACGCTCCCAAGGGTAAGAAACGGGAGCTATTAGGAAGGGCGGGGCTCCCTACTGGACCGAGAAGAAAGCTGTAGATCCTGTGGATTAACAGAACTATTTCCCCTGCGTGCATGATGATCATGTACTTTTCACTATGAATGATGGAAGTCACGCAAAGTGCGACTTTGACAGTCCGAGACATTTTTAGAGAGGGTTTCGAAAAACCACTACAATCTTTGATTGCCTCTACTGCCTCAAATAACTTTATTCGAGCGCAAGCTATGACTGGGTATATGGTTAGCCTGCCCAATGTGATAGGAGAAATGATCATTCGTTTAGCGAACGGATCTAGAATGAAGATGTCACAGCAAGCCATTTGGCTGGCAATGAAGCTTGAGAATTTCTGAGGTGAAGACAGGTTTGTTTTACTTAACTTCGACAGGATTAATATTATCCTAGATATGCCATGGTTGAAGCGGTGCCAGCCTAGCATTGACAGGATGAAAAAATGGATGACGACGAACAAATTGGTATGGGCCTATGCTTCTGCTGAAGACGTCACAGATGTCCAAAGTGATATTGTGGTGTGCGATGCCCCTAGATTCACAGGACAAGCCAAACAAGACGAAAGTAAAGACACCAACTGGAAAGCGCCAGAAAATGACCGTCTCCATTGCCATCGACATGAAAGTCATGGACGATGGTACATTAACGAATAGTGGGGTCAGAGGCAAACACCCATCCTAAGAGAAGAGTAATAAGGCCACCAAGAAGGGTTTTCCGTCTAATATTCTGCGTGTTTCAATCAAGGTAAAGCTGTATCGATGAATAAAGTGAACAAGAACAAGACACTTTATGCAAGTTTG